AATTTTTTCGTATTATGCACAGTAAGTACAAAATAATGTACATCATATTCAAATTTCATGTCAATCGGATGATTTCTTGTAAAACGCACTTGTTGCTTAAGTTTTGCACAATGTATATTTGAGGTAACTTCGTCGAACCATTACGATTCAGTATTAGAATGTGAAGATCCGATCATAAGCTCAAAAGTTATTCTGGTTGGTCCGTTTTTTTTCCTTTGGCGCACTGTATAACAGGTCATACAAGGCGCTAATGGTGACAGTATAATGCTTTAGGAGTAGCTCTCATGACTTTGGTGCCAGTAGTTGTTGTAGAACAGGCCCAGAAAGTTACAGATCAGTTGCACTGAAACATGGTTACCTTTTTCCAACTGAACATTATGCAAATCACAAGGATCACCGAATCTCAATCTAATAGAGCTAATTTGAGATGTCATTAATAGGCAGTTCAGAGATCCAACACCACAATGTGGAACATCGCGACTTAGCATAACTGCTGTGTAGGTATTTAATACAACCTAACTCCAGATACTCACCGAGAACTTGTGCCATCCATGCTAAGGTAAATTGCAGCTGTTTTGTAGGACACAACTCTATACAATCAGCATTATTAATCAGCAGGCATTATGTTTTGGCTCTTCATTGTATTTAGGTAATGCAAAAAGTAAATTAGGAAGTTTTTTTTTAACTGACTTATAAGATATGACGTAAGAAGGGACAAAAATTATATCACACACTGAAGGTTTGTATTTCTAACAGTGACAATAATTGTCAAGTCACGTTAATGTAACTGCCTAAGAACATCTAGTTGCAACTTATACAGAACAGGAGAGATTTAGTGAAGTTCTGATTAAGAATGTCACATAAGTGCTTAACTGGGTCTACACTTGGAAAACAAGGAGTGCTAATAGATATTAATACCGTAAAGTTTATAGTAATACTTTAAATTACTTTACAAAATTTTAAGATTTTTATTAGAACAAAAATAAACACAGAATATAAATATTAATCACCTTTCAACTTAATAGTAAAAGATTTACTGTTATTTTGCCATAATACATAGCAGTTGCCCTTTTCATTTTCAGCAGGCTTACATTCTTCAGTACTATTGCATCCTTCACCATTACTACTATTCTTGCACATAGTTTCATTGTATTTCTCACAAAATGTTAAATCACCAGTTGAATTCAAGGAGGGCAAGCCTGAAATAAACAAATTTTATAGAAATGCACAAAAGCAAACTTTAGGGTTTTTCAAATATTATGTAATCATGTTTTCAAATCCTACCTCCCTGGGTCAGTAAAAATAGACAAATCAAATGTTTTGTAGGGAAGTTGCAACATTGTTTTTTGCTTTGACTTTCAGAGTAGCAATCTGATTTTAAAATGAAATTCTGATAAAAGATGTAATTTTGAATTGAACAAAATATATGTTTGAATGATAGTTAAATGAATAACCTTAAAGATTTATTTTTTTTTGCACTTTTCTTTTGCAGTCAGAACACTTGACCCTTCCTTTTTTTCTCCTACAAATAAAGATCCCAAATAATTTCAAGTTTTCCAGGTTTCCATCACCCCAGAGAAGCTTGTATAAATATTTATCAGAGATAGGAAATTTCACTCAGTAGAAGACAATAATGTAATCAGCATTATTAAATTAGTGAAAATGAAATTTAAATTAGAGTAACTATAGAAATCAGATTGATGTATAGAATAAAGATGTTATTTTCTTATTTTGTAACAATTTGAAAATAAAATATTTACACCATATTATAATACAAAATAGTTAAAAATAAAAAGAATAAAAAAAAAGAATCCGATTTCGGAGCAGGCAAGCTGATACACAAGTTTGAGATTTCAAAAGATTTTTTGTAAAAAAAAATTTTTAGTAAATAATCCACAATCTTGGAATTATTGAGGAAAGATTTAATTACAGCATAGGTCGCATACGTGTTACTTATGTTATGGATACCTATGAATTATTTCGTCAACCATTTTCACCAAATCTGAGAACTATCTCCAAAACATCATTGCGGGCCCAATATTGGATTAACACAATGCCAGTACGGTGCAACCCTAGCACAGTTAGTCATTAGATAGATCTTTTTTTTTTTTATTTGGTGAAGATGCCATAAAAGCATAATCTTTTCTTTTTCTCTGCCTCCTTTCCCTAAAAGATGCAATTAAAAAAAAAAAACTCGGTTTTCAAGTGTTTTGTCCTCCAAGTACATTTTTCAGAACAAGACCGAAAATCGAAATTATTCTTTTGATTGATGCTGAACTGAATAGTCTATAAAGTAGACCTACTAAAGTTATTATAGCATAATAAAATAACATGTAACTAGGAAATTTATTCTAATAACTGTACTAAATATTAATAGTAATTTAATTAAACACTTGAATTGATGATCAAAAAAATTAACTCATTTAAACAAACATTTATATTTTTTATAAATTATTATTAACTCACTAATCAGTGGACTAATTATACATTATTATAATTAACATTAATTCACTAATATTGAAAATATTAATGAATAAGCAGGAGTGCAGAAAATTCTTAAGAGTCTGATATTTCCTGTGAACACTGTTTCTTTTTTGATCAAAATTTCCCAAAAAATGTTAGCTCTTTTCTTATATATATACAATAACTTTTCAAAATATTTTTGGAAAATAAAGTTTATAAAAGAAAAAAATTCATTTGATCTAACGAGCATATGTATTAAATAATAGAAATCAAAATAATTTGAAATAGTAATAATTTATCAAATTAAATTTAAGGTCCCACTTATTAACATAAAGAATTCAAACTAAGAAAATAATCAGTCATATTCTACTTCCCTGAATATAATTAATAACAACAAATATTGATAATCAAAAAGAATTATACGTTGAGATCAGACAATTATTGGCTAACACTTTAATTTTACTCAATCTAAAAAATCCGCCTGAAAATATAATATAAAAAAATTAAAAACAATATTTAGATTGATAATAATTAATATCTTACAGTAGTTACTTGTAATAAAAGCTCAATAATCATAATATGGGTCTTAAAGTTTTAAGATTACCATTAGAAAAACCAATTAATAGTTTTTCAGTATCAGTAATTTAATCATAGGAATCAGTGATTTTGGGAACATTTTTTATGTGATATATAATATAAATCATAATTATAGTAATATACAATTCAAGTATTGTGCATGATTTAGTATCTAATAAAATGTCTCCAATGTTAAAAAAGAAACTTACCTCAGTTTTTTGATGGAGGACAGTTTTTTGACATCAAAAACCCTACCCTGGTTCTGGTTGGCAAGGAAAAAAAATTGCTAAAAAAAAGGGGGTGCATGCTAGTAAAACTCAGTTCCTATACATTTTTACTCCACCTTAACTTCGTATAAATTAAACTTTGCACAAGTAAAAGTTCTTCCGACTCAGTTTTAGATATGCATAGTAAAGTCAAAAAGTTACCAGAATAAGTCAATTAGAAATTGTTAAAAAATAAAACAATTAGTTTATTTTATTAATTTTCAAAGTGCATTCCTCCTGCACCACACGCTCTTTCCAGCATTAGTATAAGAGTTCAAAACACTACTGGTATTCATTTTTTAAGGTAATTGTGAGCCAAACTCAAAAACCCGGAAAATTTCTTGAGTAAAATCATTAATGACGCATTTCAAAAAATTAATGCCTGCATAAATTTAAATTACCGATGTTTTCATCCCAATATAGTCACTCAAAGAAGTTTCTGTGATCCCAACATAGTCACTGAAAGAAAATTATTATAGCAATGGGGCTTAATCTAACATGTATAGAGCAAAATTTACATATGTAAGGTAACAATAATAAAAATTATACACAAAAAAGTTAAAGTTGTTAAAATTTATATTACTTTAATCAGAATTTTGAGCAATGTTTTGAAAAATTAGAATAAATCCAGATACAGCCCAAAACAAAACAAAAATAGAAATTAGTAAACAAAATATTTTTTATTAAATTTCAGTTATTAAAAGAAAATTATTTTGAAGGTCATTTATTGCTAACTAAGTATCTGCAGAACAAGTGTTCTTTTGAGCAGGTTTCTCCTGATCTTGCATTTTTGATCATATAATTATCAGTAATCAATTGTTGGTGTTGGATTTCTTTAGGGTGTACAAAATCATTGATCTGATTTAGCCATGCTAGTCTTTGAGGATAGGCAACAAAAACAATAAATATCTGCAGACTACTTTTATCACTTCAGATTATAAAATTTCTTAAACAGTTGATAAAATCTTTGTATTATGTAAAAAAAAAAAGTAATTCCATTTTAGAAATCCCAGGGTTCATTCTAGGTGGGGTTTTCGGGGCTGGAACACTCTGTTTGCCCTTCGACTGAAAAATTACGCCCCACATACCCTCTATCGCGCCCGACATATTGAAGGAGGATTTTATTTTTCGGTAAATCCATGTGGTTTTCTGATAATTTTCTGGCAGTAATAAATAGTGTTTCAGCCGTGATTAATCAGGTTTTTTTTTACAGTTTCCCTATGGCTTTTCAAATTTTGATATCTTTAATAAGTCATTATGACATGCACATTTTGAACTTCATCACTTCTTTGAAGTGTTCGATTCGTGACGATTCTATCATAATTTCACAGCATTTTATGATGGCTTTTTTGGATAATCATTCTTTCAGCCCCTTTACATGGTTTCTTGATGATATGTTTAATAGGAATTTCAAAATTCAAATCTGAGTTAAAACTATTTGATGTGTTTGATTTCTCGCCATTTTATGATAGGTTTTTTGGCAGTTATAATTTAATCAGTCCCTTTCACATGATTTCAAACAATCCAATATTATTAGGGCGTTCAATTCGTGATGATTCCATTGTAATTTCATTGGTCTAAAAAATTTCCACAAAATTTTTTATTGTTAAAAAAATGTGGTGCTTTTCAAGATTTTTCCACATTAAAAAAATATTTTGTCAACTTGTGTATTTATTAATTTGAATTTGTTTATGAGTAGGGCATAAAACTTAATTTATTAAATGAAAACACTTAAATAAATTTTGATTTTCATTATTTTTAACACACATGCTTGTTTATTCAAGAATTGAGTAAAATCAAATGAATTTTTTCTTTGTTTTTACTATCAAAAATTTTGAATAATATACAAACTCTACTTTCCAAAATTGTTTTGAAAAACCTATTAGACTAAAAATAAATGCTAAAATTTTTGGGGAAGTTTTTATTTGAAAGAATAATAATTGGAGGAAATATTAGGCTCTGAGAATTTTCCGCATCTCTGCTTATATGTACAGTGCCCCAAAAAAATAAACGGACTACTCTGAATAACTTTTGATCTAATGATCGGATCACCACATTCTATGACTTAATCTTAATGGTTTGAAGGGGAGGCCTCTAATATGCTAATTAATTAGTACAGCGATTGCTAAAATAATGAAATCCGACACAAAAACATACTTTCTCTGAATAAATATACCATTTTTTTGACAGATTCAGATTTCTGTCCCCTAAAATATAGGGGGTAGCAGCAATCAGAGAAATATGGTCCCAACAGTTTGTTCAGGAGAGCAATCCAAAGTTTGAACCCCTTAATGTTTATTTGCGTATTCTGTTGTATCTTGAGAACTTTTCAAGTGAATTGAAAAAGTTTTGCACACAATAAAATTTATTCATCCAAAGATAATTTCATGCAAAAAATAACTTATAGAAAATACAACTTTTTTTAAAAATTCTAGTTCTCATAAATTATTCAACAGATTTTGCTCAAAATTTGTATTTTCCCATGTAAAATTACATTCCTTCAAATGATGTCAAAGTTGCATACTTTACAATGAAAAATATGTTTGACTATTATTAAAGTTATTTTTTGCATGAATATATTTTTGGATAAATGGATTTTATAATTTTGTACAAAAAATTCAAAACTGTGCACTGCACTCCTGACCAAACTAATAAGGTATTTTGGGGGTCAGAAATCTGAATCAATCTAAAAAAAAGGTATATTTATTCAGAGAAAGTATGTTTTACTGTCTGATTTCGCAACTTAAAATATCGCCTGCACTAATAAATTAGCATGTTTTAGGTCATCCCCTTAAACGAATAAGATTGAGTCCTAGAACATGAAGATCCAATCTTTAGATCTAAAGTTATTCAGGGTCGTTCGTTTTTGTGCACTGTACATGAATATTTCCAATAAATCATAACAACAATATATTCCTTGATAAGTAAACTAAGTATAATTTACAAAATATACAAATTTTTGATAGAATGAGCTGATAATTTTTAAATCAATCAATTGAAGGGTTTAATTAAGTTACTATCAATATTTAGAACAATTAATAAATTCTTCAATTACACATTTTTTTATTTTGTTTATTAGTTTTAGTATGTTTAAATTCTAGTCTATGCAACTCGGCATTAATCTAAGGATTAGTTTCGAATTTCGGTCTTATTTATACAAAACTGAGGAGTTAAAATGGGAGTAAAAGAAAATTGATTTCAGATATAATGAATAAAACGACTGTTAAGTGTTTTTTTTTTTAATTCTCAATAATTAAACCAATTTATTTTCATTTTCAATAATTAAACAAATTAACACACTGAATAAATTCCAATTTTACCCATTTTTATTTATAATAATGTAATATTTTCTACACCAAAATTTAGATTTTAACAGCAATTGACAAAATAAAAAGAGAGTTTAATTTCAAAATAATTCAAGAACATAATTGATTGATCATTTGTAATTTTATATGTAAGTTTGTAAATAACTCATATTGATATTAGCTAACAATTATCTTACATTAAAATTTCGACAATCAATTATGAAAAAGGGATTTCGACATGAAGGTTAAAACCATGGTTAGAATGGGATAAAAGCATGGATAAAACGGAATAAAATCATTAATTGTTAAAAACTTGCCAACTATGCTTAAGGGAATTTTTTATGTCAGGTTTCAAAAGGGAAAAATTGTCCCTTATTTTTTCCAAAGAATATTAAAAAAAAATCTTTTTTTTTTTTTTTTCATTTTTCTTTGCTATATAAATTCTTTTTAACTTTCTCTCAGAAATTTTTAGAGATGCTTCCTCTTAAGTGACAGATGCAGTCGCCTAAAGCTTTTTAATGCGGTAGTTTTCCCTTAAAAATATGTAGGTATTAGTTTGCTTGGGTGTAGCTAGAAGGTAAGTCTCTTTCTGTATTTTTTTCCTTTTTTCTGGCATACTACTGTTTGGAAGTCCTCAAAGTTTGTTGATTATTCTGGCAACACACTGAACTGAGGCACTAAAACACAATTCTTACCCAATTGTTTAGCCATTTCTCCCCAAATATGAGATAAAAACCAATCTACAAATGCTGTGATTAAAAACACTGGGAAAAAAAATTTCTTTTTTTTCTGTAGCATGAGATTTTTAAACAGATCTTCGATACTTTCAAATTGCTGATTTCAAATCTACAAACACTTTCTTTCTCCAATTTAGTTTTCATTTTTTTTTTAAATTAAATTTTTAGTCTATTTTTTATTGAAAAGGGGAAGTATTAAAACGTTATGTATAACAAGGTTTTACATAAATGCTGTGACGAACTTCTAAGGGAGTTAAGGCATGATCATCATATAATGAAAATTGCATAGGAATCCAAACCCAGAATTGTTATCATACAGAGATAGGGATGCTTTACTATTATGGGTATTAGGGATACTACTTCTAATACCCATACTTCTCTATAATAGTATTAAGGATACTACCTTATTACTATTTTTTCATGTGTTTCTGACAGGGTTGGCAGGTTTTTGACATGTGACAGTTTAAACCATCAAAAACCTCACTGTCAAAAATGTCGAAAATGTCAAAAACCTATATTCATATGTAAAATTTAATTAATACATAAAATTTATACATTTTTTAATAAAGGATATTATTTCTAAATATGTTCTAGAAAAAATAAATTTAAAAATTTTGAAGAAACACTTATATTTTGAATAGTAACCAAAATCTTGTACCTTTGAAAGCTCACATCTTTTGTAATATTATGTTTTCATTTTCATGTGTTATTGAAAATCTGCAGTGATATTATTAAGAAATTTATTTAAAACCAAATTTAGTGTATAACATAGATTATACTAAAAATTAGACATTTTTAAAGATAAACATTAGCAGTTTTGTACATTAGACATCTTTTAAAGAAAAATCTTTTAAACAGATTGGGCACATGCAACATTCACAATCAGGGAATTTTTGTCTATTTTTAGCTCATCTGGTCTTCTCACTCAGTAAACTGGGGGGAGGGGGATTAGTGAACCGCTTTCAACATACTTTGTTTGGTGGTGGAAAAATGTTCAAAACTAGTTATGTGCTACCGTATGCTGCGAGGAGCAAATGAACTAGACTATTGAATTTTGAATTAAATTTCTACTTCCATCATTTTCATTTTGATTATGTAGTGTGATGCATGTTCTAATTTTTAAAATTATGTATTTAATTAGGATAATTAAAAAATTTCCATAATAATTTGTTTAAATATTTCATGGATCAGTGACTGTAATGTTCTTCTGTTTAGTTTGACTTTTGTGATTGGTTGTTAGTTTTTCAGAAAAATCAGTAATTCTGAATTTTAAATCTTCAATTTTTTTAAATTCATAGTTAACATAAGACAATACAAATTTAAGTGCTTTCTGTTAAATACACAGAGTAGTTAGTGTCGATTTACAGTATATTCAGCCTATTCATTTACTATGCTGAAAATTTAGTTTATCCAAATACTTGTGAATTTCATTTTGCTGAATACTATATAGTTTTGTTGAATATCTAAATATTCAGCTGTTGAATAATTACTTCTTGCTTTCAAGATATGCATTATTTGTATTCTTAATACAAGTGGAGAAAAAAAAATTAAGAGATAAAAATTGTTTTAAAATGATAAGTGTAATAATTATAAATAAATATAATAAACAATATGAATTATATTTATCATTATTCATAAATATAACTACTTTTAAATTCAAATTAACATACTGGATAATAAAGATATTCGGTATAACATTAAAAAAAAATTTTTATACACTTGTATCTTATATCAAGTTTGTATTTATACAACATAACTTGTAAGTTCCTTATAAATATTAGTTATATGTTCCTTATATGTCAAAAATGCATAGTAATAAACTTTTAATTTTCTTAAGTATCAAAAAGAAAAAAAAAATTTTTTTAAATATAAATATTTAAACAATTTTTGTGCAAAATTTTTCTGCACATGCATTTGAATATAAATTTCTGAGATTTTAAATCTGTTATTTTACCTTAATTTTAATTAAAAAATATTTTAAAACCTGCTGATTACCTATAGTATAATTAAATTTCAATATAATGCATGGCAACTGTTGGTAGTTTTGAAGTTTATATATTTTCTTGGCAAACTTCAGTTTTTGACATTTTTGACGGGTTTTTGACGGTTTAAACCAGTATTATACCCTTGTCATGTCAAAAACCACTTTTGACGTCAAAAACCCAATCCTGGCTTCTGAAAAGGTCATAATAGAGTAGCGCCCTTAACTATGCATGACATTTCCGAGCATGGGCTCCTATACAATTTTAATCCTGATGATGAGCTTTAACTCTCCTAGAAGTTTGCTTCAACATTTACGCAACCTACTCAGGGATCTGTCCAGGGCGAATTTATTGCCGTTTAGCAGTACTTTCACAAATTCAATTTTAGAAAAAATGGTAGTTTCACAAAATACTTTTAACATAATTTCAAAAAATATTTAAATATTTTCTTATTTTACCATATTTTTGTGTTGATTTTTTAATATAATTTTTAAAATTTCACAAATTATGTCTAAATTTTCACAAAATAGGTACCTTTCAAAAAAACCTAGGCAAGCCCTGCTACTATTACACATAACATTTGTAAACTTGCACATTTCAACAAAAAAATAGAATGAACATGTCATTAAAAAATAAAAAAGTTTTAGGAGCAAAATTAATTTTAGATTTGAAAACGTTACACACAAATTAGGTTAGATCAAATTTGTATATAAATGCAACAAAAAATTTGTTGCCTTGTGCAATCTGCTACACCTACTGCCTTGCAGGAAAGTACCTGCTACCAGGACATGATGTTGCAGAAAATTAGACTTTTAATATACTTCTTTCATTTTATATAGCCAAAATTAAAATGAATGGGAGATAAAGTATCTTCTAATTCTATCATAAAATTTTCTAATTTGTTAGCACTGATTGCTTTTTAAAATAAACAGCACTTAAGAGCATTTATCATAAAATTTAAAATATTTCAAATATATATTTGCACCTAAAAATACATCGTAAGTAAAAGAAAAATTTATTGACATTAATTAACATTTATAACAATATACCAAACTTTTTAACCTATTCTGAAATGATATCGATAAACATGGAGACCCAAACACGAAATTTCTAAATGAATCAAAACATGGAAGATATAATAAGTAAATATTGACAGATACAAAAATGCAATATTTCTACATCACTAACATCAATATTGACATTTCAACTATTCTAGTAGTTCAATGTTGGTGATACGATCTAGTGACATTTTAAGTAAAATTAAAAAAATATATATAAAGGAGAAACAAATTTTTCGATAATTCCTTTAAAACTTACCAAAACACTGACTAAGAATAAGATGCGCCGCAATAACGAAATACAACTGGGGATATTTGCAATGCTGCCAAGTTATCGCCATCAGAGTTCTCAAAGTTAAAATTAAAATCATTTTGCAATGATGTTTTACTGGTTTATCTTTCAATCTAATGAAAAGTTCGCAGCGATCGTTATCTACTGCACATTGATGACCAGATAAAACAATGGTAAAAATTCGTAAACAAGCGATTTATGTTTGTATACTAACACTAGCAGCAACAGAAGGGCCCTTCTCATGTATATACCAGTATAGCCTGAGCAAACCACTTAACATTGAAGATCGATCTATCATAATGGTTTGCATTACAAAACAAACCATACTTATTTCGTCCTTAAATCTTTAATAGCCAAGTCAAACATTTTTCACTAATTACAAGACACTCGCACTCACCGCACGTCGCGTACACATCAACAATGGCGTTGTTGTTATTTTGTTGTTGGAAAAAAATGCTCATATGACTTAACGTACTGTTTCTGAATTTAATGAAAAGTTTAGGCATGACGTTTAAAGCAGCTATGACGTCATCAAACACAAGGATTGGATGAGATGGAAAATCTCATTGGTGCAATATAATTCGAGATCGCAACGCTTGAATACGCTCTAGCGGAGACGATATTTTCAGGCTTTTATTTACTAAGTTTTCTTTTAGTTCAATCAGAATCATTGGCAGGGACGTAGGTATGGGAGGGGTTTAGGGGGTTCAAGCGCCCTCCATTGTAAATGGCAATATTTTCTCAAACTATTAATTTTTTTAATAGTTTTAACAAAAAAATTATTTCGTTCATTGATTTTATTAGCTAAAAAACAACACTTAAAAAAATTATTTTATGACATCGATATGAGGCTCTTTCATGTTCAAAAATGTAAAATATTTGTTCTTTCCTCCCAAGGAAGCAATACTCTGAACGATACCCATGTATCTCCCTGTTGTTTATTTACTAAGTTAGTAGATTCCTCTTTACGATAGGGAAATGTTCACAGCTACAAATTACCTTGCTTTATCTATATCTATGGAGGATCATTCTTAAGGGTCAGTGTGGCATATTTAAAGATAGCTTGTTTGCTTGAATCTGTTTATAAATGCTTCACAGGAAAAAAAATTTAGAAATTTGGGGGTGCCTTTTTAGGATTGTAATATGATATAACCAGTAGATGGAGAGAGTTCTAAGAGTAGTACTAACATACAGGTAAGTTTAAAACGGGGGTTACTCTCAAATCAAAAACTTTCTTGACATTTCAGTCAGGAAACTTTTACTACGATGCGCTCAAATTTTGTTCTAACTCTGGTTGTCTTCAAAACTTCAGTACAGTTTTAAGTCCCTTCATATTTTTAATTAGCTGACTATTTTTTTTTCGTATATTATTGTATTTTCCTTTTATTAACATTTTATTAAATTTTCATTGATAATTTCTTTCCTGCATTTGACTCTTTGCTGTGAAAATGATTTATTTATTTATTTTTAAATGGTACTCTTTAATCAGTTCAAAAAATACCCTCAAGGAATTTTATTCATTTGGAAGTAAGCTTATATTTAATTCAATTATATATGATGTATGTAAAGGCTAGACTTGGATTAGATTTGATGTGCCAATATATTTCACAAATTAGTTTTCGCTATGGTTTTATATAATTGTCACATTGTTATATTTATTACTAAAAAGCTATTATAAAAAATAAAAAGATATTAACTGTTACATAAGTAATAAATCTAAATATATAAACTGAAGGAAGTGAAAAAATTTGTTTTCGATCAACAAAGTAATAATATTCAATAACTAAGTAAAGTTGCTGGTTGACAACTGAAAATCTGCTCCAATTTAAATACTTCAGTGTAATATATAATAAAAAATTAAAATATTTAAGTTATTTAAAATAATTAAAAATGAACTCATTAAATACATAAAAGGAAATAAGTTATTTTGAAGTCAGTAATATCTTCATTGAAATCGGGTTACAAAGAAATTTTACTTTAAGATAAATTTTAAAAGTAAGGTGTGTTTCGCTATATTGATCCTGCTTTACACTTTAAGCTCTTAAATTTGAAATTAAACAACAGCAATTGCTCAAAAGTTTTGATTTGAAGAAACATACGTAATGACAGTAAAAAGAATTTAATTAGTCGTAAATTATTTTTTTTTCTATTTCTAATAAGGTAATCACTTTAAAAGAAATAGTGCAAAAATTATTTTTTGAAAAATCCAATATTTCAAAACAAATATTTATCAATAGTGTCTTTTCTAGATATTATGCATGTTGGATAAATTAAATCTTTAACTAAAGAGAAAGAGAGAGCGCTATGCAAATCTGAGACTCGCAATATATTATATTCTTCTCTTTAAAATTCTCATAAAACCTTCATACTTCTACATATATATTTCAAAAATCATGATTTGACTATAAGTACAGAAAATCACAAGAGATTAAAGTGGCTCTAAAAGTGAATGTTATTGCTTACTCAATGAAAAAACAATCAAATAGAGTTAAATCTAAGTCCAGTGTTAAAATAACTGAGAAACTTAATGAAAGGGGAAAATAATTAATTTTGCATTCTTAATGGTCGTGGGACGAATATTTAACTGAAGAAATAGAACTCTACGGCGGACAAAAATATTTAGATAGATAACAAATAAAATTGAGACTTTTTTTTTTCATTATTATTGAGTATTTTATGTCCATTTCGTAAATTTTTCCCTTTTCTTAACAAAGGTGGCTTAAAAATTAGAAAAATGCAACATTAGCAAAAATTTAAAAAAAAACTCTCCATTATGTTAGCAATTGACTGGCGACAGAAGCTCGAGTAAACAGGTTCTGAATAAATTTCCAGCATGAATATATTAATATATGGTGAAACAATTTTTTATTTTTGAAATCGGCGTATTCTTTTAAAAAATTTTGTCACAGAAAAAAAGAAAGAAAAAATAGGAACGAAAGAAAAAGGAAGTTGATAGGATTAAAGTTTTAACTCTGTGGCTATAAGCATATTTCTGAAGAGCAATAAAAATGCTCAAAAATTAATATAATTTTTGAAACAAAACACACAAAAATTATAAAATATAGTAATAAGAAAACGAGGGCGACCGATGACTTTCTATCGACGAATTCAAATTTCATTTTACAGGAGAAACAACACATCATGCTTTTGCTATATTGATACAAGATTAGAAAGCACTCCTTTTTGCGGTTACAATCGTTTGAGCTGATGAAGAGATTATATATTTCCATTTCTTTGTTTTCCAAATTTTTAATATGTATTTTTTTTAAAATTTTTTAAATATATTTAAAAAATATTTTATTTTAATAATCTTTTTATTTCTTTACATTAATCTTTATTATTTTCCATGTTTTTTTAATATTTTTATCTTATATATATATATCATATGAATATCATATATATATTTCTCATAATTAATCCCATTACGATTTTAGAGCAGGGTAACGTGTGTAGTATTTAATTAATTTTAGTAATATCAATATCTAATGAAAATAGTTTAAATACAAAGTTTTAAAACTAATGTGTTAAAATTTTTGTTCTGGGATACTTTTAATCAGATGTTGTCTTTCTCAAACATTGATTTTACACGTTATTTCATTTATCAGAAATTTGTTATAACGTTAGGGTTCCAGTAATTATAGAGAAAAAAAAAAAGATGTTTTCATCAAAAAGTAATACTCAAGATATTTTTTGAAATATACTGTTATATAAATTATACATGTACACTACCCAACTCTCTTCTGCATGTTTTTCCCTTCTTTAAGTGAAATGTGGGTGATTTTAGAGGGAGAACTGCATTTTTTCTAAACAGGCAAAGTGAGGCATTTATTAAAATTTATTTTTTCATGCTAAATTGAATGATATCAGTCTCGAGACGATCGGACTAATAGTTTTTGAAATTCTAAGGATTTTATGTACAAAAAAATACAAATTTGCTCTTGTACCTATTTATACATCTGATATTGGTATCTAACCAGTGAAACATTGTACCTTTTTTATACTAAATTGAATGAGACTATACACAAGCCAATAGAATGGTCAGTTTAAAAGCTTCAAGCGGTTTCATGCATAAAAAGTACTATTTTTTACATGATTTAGTAAATTTGTTACTTTGCTATCTAGGGGCAATTTGAACATGTGAGACACATTTTTCAATGAAATTTTTTATACAGAAATTAATGAGGTAAAACTTTAGTTGATGGAATAAATAGTTTTGAAATTACAAAGGGTTTCTCCATAATAAATGCTATTCAAAAATAATATTGGGATTACAAATTAGTTCGGTCCGTTTTTAAAAGATAGCTCTGCTGTTATGAATGTTATATAGTGACAGCTGGTTTCGGTGGTTTCAGAGAGGTTAAACATCTGTCAATAATATTCAGTTTAAATCGCTTTGAGTTTCATACAAAAACTCTGTTTTTTACTTTGTTGAATAGATCAAATTTTGTGGTAACGAAGCGCCTTTTGCGGGAGGTTTTATGTTTCGGCTTTAATTGGAAGAAAAGTGCAGCTGAAGCGCATCGAATGCTTGTAGAAGTTTATGGTGACAATACTCCAACTGACAAATCATGTAGGGAATGGTTTCGACGTTTCAAGAATGATGAATGGTGAATAGTGTTGTATACTATGAGCAGCTACAACCTGGTGATTCCATTACGGGCGATCGGTATAGGCTACAATTGATTCGTTTGCGCCGTGCATTACGAGAAAAACGGCCAAAATACGAGCAAAGACATGACAAGATTATTCTTCTGCATAATAACGGTCGGCCTGATGTCTGAAAAGTCGTAAAAAATTATTTGGAAACGCTCAAGTGGGATATTTTACCACACCCGCTGTATTCGCTGGACATTGCTCCTTCTGATTACTGGTTGTTCCGACGGATTCATTACGATTTGGCAGGTCACCAGTTCACTTCTTTCACAAAAATCGAAAATTGACTCCAAGCTTGGATCGCCTCAAAAGACGAGACATTTTTTCGAGATGGATTTCGAAAATTGCCTGAGAGGTGGGAAAAAGTAGTAGCCAGCGATGGACAATACTTTGATTTATCTGTTTATTCATTTTGTTCTGAAATAAATGCATTTTTGACCACAAAAAAACGGATCGAACTAATTGTACTCCCAATACATTATATTTTTAATAAAAAATAATTTCAACTTTTGAAATATGATGAGTCGTGTATTGACTCACTCGATTAAACGAGAAAAAAATGCATTGGAAACAGTATTTCATTTGTCCGTATAGCAATGTAAAATATGTAAATAAGATCAGGTGCAATATTTAATTTTTTGTACATGAAACGCTTACAACCTATAAACTATTAGTCCGATTATCTTAGGATTGGTATCATACAATTGCGTGAAAAATTGCATCGGAAAATTTACATTACATGTTCAGATAGTTTCTGTTTAGCAATATGAAGTACATACATCAGTATGTGCTAAAAGAAGTATTGTTTATAATTCTTTCAACTTTTTAACTTTTTGTTGTATTGACTCTATTTTGTTTTGTTTGTTCTGTTGCTCTATTTTGTTATTGATATTGATTTAGTTTTAAATTTATTAATACATACTAAATTTTGA